GTGAACATGGAGCTGGTCAGCCCTGATTACCCTCAGAACTACACCACCTGCTGCTTCTTCAGGTCGAGTGGGTGGAGTCAGGGGCACGACCTGAGTCTCGCTGAAACACACGGCTGAAATCGTGAGCAGTTTCCTCTAAAACGACACTTTACTTACGTGCACTAACACTAACACACCACCAACACGCTAACAACACATGAAGCACTCTGAGTACTTTCACTGCACCTGAGAAACTACAACTAAACACATCCTGTACACACTGTGTGTACACGCTGCCACACAGCGAGCAGCTCCACTGCAGTTGCAGGAACAGGAAACACACCACGTGACCTTTGACATGTCCCACAGTGCACCTCAGTCAGGGGCACGACCTGAGTCTCGCTGAAACACACGGCTGTAAGCCCCCTCCCCCCTGTTCACGTGAGCCCAGCGTGGGTCCGTCACACCTACAGACTTTTAAAGGTGGAAGTGGCCACGCCCCCAAACCAGTGTGAGCAGACGGAGCTGTTACCAGGATGTAAACAGGATGTGCCCTTTCACAGTTAAAGCCTCAGAAATAAAAACATGACATCATCTTAAATTTTAAAGATAAAATAAAGTTTAAAGACGACGATGAGCACGTGATTCACCTGTGACAGGTAAATATATACACCTGACAGGTGCTACTGACCTGGCTCTGCCCACGAGGGAAGACTCTGATGTGACCTCTGACCCTGAGTGTTCTCTGAAGCCCCTCCCACTGAGCATCAGCCAATCCCAGCAGAGCACAAACCAGAGCAGCTGAGAACCAGACGTGAGCCTCACCTGTCCCGTCATCAATCACCAGCCTGATCGAAGAGCGACATGGTTTGATCATGTGACTGCCACCTGACTGATCCAGGTGATTAACATGTATCAGCAGGTGAGCTCAACAGGAAGCTGCTCTTACTTTGCTTTGGACTGAAACACTGACGAGGTCGAGCGACACTGAGAGCTGCTGCAGCCCTGAGAGAGATAGAGCAACAGGTAAACACACACCTGAAATCGTGAGCAGTTTCCTCCAAAACGACACTTTACTTACGTGCACTAACACTAACACACCACCAACACGCTAACAACACATGAAGCACTCTGAGGACTTTCACTGCACCTGAGAAACTACAACTAAACACATCCTGTACACACTGTGTGTACACGCTGCCACACAGTGAGCAGCTCCACTGCAGTTGCAGGAACAGGAAACGCACCACGTGACCTTTGACCTGTCCCACAGTTCACCTCTGCTTGCTGCTCAGAGCCCACTCGCCCAGGTGCATGATGGGAGCAGGAGGAGGAGGCTGGGCCGAGCTGATAGAAGCCAAACAAACAAATAAACAACAGCGCGACAAACACGTGAACCAGACTTTACCTGTAAACTTACCTGCTGTCTCCCAGGGAGACCACAGTTATGGAGCTGACAGGTAAGTACGTGCAGTACACACTTCCTGTCCTGAAACACACACACAGGTAAACCACACAGGTACGTAA